AATATCAGCCTGACTGTCCTGAACCTGGAAGCTAATTTGGTTGAAATAACTGTGACCACGATATTAACATAGCAGTAGGTGATAACAGCCAGAGGAAAGATCAAGAAAAGGAAAAGCTGAAGGTAAAATCCTGATGCTCTCAGCATGGCAACATCAACATTTGGGAGATTACTGGGATACTCTTCACAAAAGGTTTGATTGTTGATATAGGTGAAGGTGTCGTGTATGAGCATCGGTCTGATGCAGGCCAGGCCACTGACCAGCCACACCACCGCACAGGAGACCACGGCGTACCTGCGGTTTCTCACCGAGGAGGCTTTCAGCGAGTACACAACCGCCAGGTGCCGGTCAAAGGTCAGCAGGGTTAGAAAGAGCACGGAGCTGTAGAAGCCCATGTAGTACACACTCCCAACAATCTTGCACATAACTCGGCCAAAAATCCAGTTGGAGAGCTGCATGTAGACTCCTGTGAACGGAAGGCTGCTCATGAAGATCAGGGAGGAAAACACCAGGTTCAGCAGCAAGATGTTGGTCACAGTGGTGAGTCTCTCAAACCTGGGAGGTATTCAAATGAAAAAGACAATTAGAGAAGCAAGCGTTTTATGACTTATCTAAGTTCAATTTACCAACTCAGAGCAGTTTAAATAGGATCAGAATAATGTGCATGTTTGGTCTCTGACGTATTTATCAGGAAATCTTGAGAAAGCCTCTATAACCTTTTATGGTCTCATTTATACAAACGTGCACTTTAGAGATTAATTTCCTTTAAATGTTTACAGTTTAGACCTACACATTCAGTGAAGGAAAAAGGGAAAAGGCATGTCAACCATCAACCAAAGCCATTCTTTGCTTCTCTGTGCTAAAACAGGGTTTTTGAGACTGCAGTGACTGAACCAATATGGAACTTTTCAAGCTTTACATGAGTTTGTGAGACACACATAGTCTTTTTTCTGTAACTAGAAAAACTGTTCTGTGCTTATTTGAGAAGGAAAATACAATTGCTTTATTTGTTATTTGTTCTTCCCTTCCAGATGTATCTAAATGACTGACTGAGTCCCACACACACCTAGAGCATGCTTTACAACCGACAACCATGGAACTCATCCACACCACTATCCCAAATGAACCCCTTGTCTAAATGTAGTCATTATACATTTCTTTTCAGTTCAAATTACAGTACTCTACATTCAACATCAGTACTTATTCCAACCTAAATAGAAAGGACTGTAGCATTTAAAATGATAATCTCGTGGTTCATGCAGGGCCTTGTAAAAGATGTAACTACACAGGGCTAAAGTAATGACTGAAGAAGAAGAGTCAGTAACCAACGACGCAGACATAAAAATACACTGGATGTATAGCCGTTTCCCCACTCCCAGTTCCCCATTTACCATGATCATGTTTAGGCATCTAGAGCTAAGTAGTTCTCTATCAGATTTAAAACCAGAAGGCTTCATATTATCTTTGAGCAGAGGCTGTATTTTTCCACCATCAGTCAACCTTATTACCAAGAAATGAGTGCTACCGATAAAAAGCTTTGAAAGAGCCCATATTTCTTGTTAACTGTTTAGTTTTATCAGCTGGGTAAATGTGGAGGTCAACTCACCGCTGGATGATGATGATGACAAGTCCATTTCCAAACAGACTAAAGACAAACATAAAGTAGTAAATGATGGAAAGCCGGGCTCCCAGATTGTTGTCTCTGTCTCTGCTACATGGGGAGATGAGTAGGTCCTCAGAAAAAGTACCATATTCATAATAATCCGGCGTTGTTGTTTCCATTGTCACGTCAAATGCTGAAAAGAAATATATCAAAAACAATGATCGACAGAGGATACATCAAATTCACAGTGGTAATAAGAGAGCAAGCGGAGGGCACTGTGACACAGAGGCAGACCTCTGTGGGATTAGCTGTCTTACCACACGGGCAGCAGGGAGGCTTCTGCCTGTTGTGTCATTTGGAGCAAAGAGTCTGATAAAATATCGCCGAATGATTCGTCATTGAGCGAGAGGAAGTTCCACAGAAGTCTGCGTATCTGTGTGTATATGTGAGCAGCCTTGTGTGGGGGCGAATGATGCAAAAGCACATGCTTGGAACTGAGCAGAAGAACAACACAGCTCCTGCTGGTGGGTTTCAGTGAAGCTCTGATCTGCCCAGACGGGGAACCAACAGGAACGCCTGGCATGTCAACATGACAGACCAAACAGAGCCATGACTGGCTGAGGGGAATTCATATGAGGTTAAAAATGAAGGCTGAAAATGAAAATGCAGTTAATGGACATGTTTGATCAATATCATAATATATTTAGTATAATTATCATAACCATAATACAAGATGAAGTGTTACATTGAGAGAGAATCCTTCCTCCCCCAACAGCATCCAGGAGTTCCAGAGAGCTAAGGTCAGCTATAACAAAATTATAAAAATGAGGCAGTGAAAGATAGATTACTTAAAATCGGAAGAACTACTAAGAAACACAAGAAAATAAGTCAAACCTGAACAGGCTGAAACAGTCCCTTTATCCCCAAAACATTTTGGAGTCTCTGTAACTTTATGCTGTGATCAGTGGTGTTAAATTGAGATCACACAGAAGTATTACAGACACAAGCCCTCCATCAGAGGCTCAGAAGAGATAGATGGCAACTTTCAATGCTCATTGGTAACAATCCTGACAGAAAAGCGCCTGGCCACTAACCACTAACTTTAACAGGGAGTCAACTCGGCCTGAGGCTCTGCTCTGTACCTCAAACTCCTGATGTTACTTCCAAAATTGTTTTGTTCAATGCACTTCGTATGGATAAAGTGCTTGTAAAAAGTAGAAATGTTAATATACATATATATTCATACTGTGTTGTGTTTATGTCCTGATTAGTATCATCTTGCAGCAGAGATCTGATCCCAATTCCACTATTTGTCTTATGACTGGACAGATATGGTTAAATGTAAGGCTGATGAGATGACTCTGATCTGACCGAAATCAGACTCCATAAGTCCCTCATGAAATATGTTTATTCGAGCATCTAGCAGGGAATGAAAAACTTTAGTGTTTGTTGTTTGATGAAAACACATCACAGCACACAGAGTTTTGCAGGACAGTGTATTCATATGGTGTTAGTGACTAACAGTGACTCATCACAAAGTGACCCAACTTCTCCCCTTCTCTGAATCCCAACTCATATATACCTCAATATGGACACGCACACGCCCCGTGACACATTACAGATTGAAGGATTTCAACATACTGTTGTGCTGGAGGCATTTTAACAGCCAGGCTTTCAAAATCCTGACTCTAACTCACAAAGTCAGGCCTCTTCAGTTATGGAAGTTATGTTTGTTGCATATGCATTTGGTAAAATGAGATACTTGTGTCCCAGGTGGACTATTGATGCGCCTATTGTTCAAACCTGGTCAGGATGATATGCAGAGCGGCTATAATCACTGCTTTGTGTGGACGGTGTAAAAAGAGCCGTCATTCTTGCAGCTGACATGGATTTATGCTCAAAAAACAGTAAATTCATAACCCCAGCTTTGTATGACTCAGCCTGTACTTTAATAACTCTCCATCAAATCAACAAATCAACTATTTATCTGTGTATGTGTGGGTCATAAGCCCATCTTAAGGTGTGTTACATTTTCATAGCAACATTTTTTTGCCTGGAGATGTCTCTGTTTCCAGTGTCGCCCACTCTCCCTTCAGCCTCGATCAGGTGACCAGACATTTCTACATTTGAATAATTAACATTTAAGGATTTTTTTTTTTTTTGGCACTTAACTATCTTCACTGCATGTGATCCAGTAGAAGTTAGTTTAGGCTGAAGTTAGCTCATTTGACATTGTCTTAGACCTAGAGCTGGTGCCTGCTCCTCTGCAGGCCCTCCAACAGCCGAGTGTGTGAGTGTTACAGCTCATCAGTTAGATTTACATTCAAACATGTACAAAATAACAAAGTTTACTGCAAACCAGAAACGTTTAACAACAAACTACCAACTAACTGTTGTTAATATTGTTTTTCAATAATGTAACATTTAAGGATGGGCAAAATGTCCCGAAATTAGAGATTGATGATGTCACCATAATTAATCTCTATAACATCACAGCTAAAGGCAGTTTTCCTGGGATGTTCACTCTTGAAATACACTTAATTTCCCCTCATTTAGCTTAATTTATTTTTAAGTGATAACGCTACAGTGGCATATGCAATGCACATTTAAGCAGCATTGAACTTTATTTAAGACTCAGTGAGGACCAGTTCATGTCTTTTTCATCAATGTGTCCATGTAAAACCTGAAAACTGAAAGGAACTTTTTATTTCACATTACTGTGTATATACTTTAAGCATATGCTTTTATATGAACATCAAGATCAATTCTAGATAAGTCTTACATGAAGTCCTCCCACACAGAAGACACCCCGTGAGCTCAGATAATATCAACACTCATGAGTAAGAGAAATGTGAAGGTCAGTGACGGAATCAGGGAAAGTTTGCCTCAAGTTGAGTATCTTATACCCCTCTTTCACCTTAAAAAACTCACAAAGCCTAAAAACAGTATGGGGAAAATGTTGTCCGTGTCTTTTATTTACCATCAAAACAGCAGGCTGGTAATGAGGCTAGGAGACCAAAGGAGATTATGAGGATTAAAAATATTATTTTTACAGGAACAGAGCTGACTGGGGATTTGTGGATTAAATGTCATTCGATAGGCATGTTAACCATCTTAGATATGGGGGGGGGAGATGAATGCTAACTATATAACGCTCAGATCTGTGTCAGCGGAGTGGGACCAGCAGCTATCCTCCTTTACCCTTCATTATCTCTCAGGATGGACCAATTCTATCACAGGATTATGAGGAAATGCTCAGAAAATAGAACACTGAATGAAAATGCCTCTTTTTCTGCTTAAATCTGTTGTTTGGGTTCAGTCATGTGAACAGAACAATCAGAAAAAGAATGCATTATACTTTTGAAGAACGTTCTGATTCTGTTTTGTGTTTGTGTGAAATGTTACATTTTTGTTCCATTGTTTCACATTATTATTCTTGTATTTACAGGTTTATTATCTTTTATTATTTTTTATTTCATTTTATAGTTTTGGAACAAGGTCCTCAAGCAGCTGCTGTGCTAAGAATGTCATCTTTAGTGTACACTTGGTTTTACCATAATTACACACCGGTTAATTTCTGTAAATTAACGTAACCAGGGCAGAGTGTTTGGAAAATAAAGTCAAAAACTCCAAAGATCTACAGAAACTGGTGTTGGAACAAAAAGAGTATGTGTTACAGGGATTCTACATTCATTTGTGTGACGTATTCACCAATCAGTAATATTCAAAGTCAAAGTCCCACTGAGCACAAACAAGGCGACAGGAAATTATGCAATACACATTTCCAGGAAATGTAAGTGTTTCAACCCCTTTATTCAAAAAGTTAAAGATAAAAAACATGAATTACACTGGATTCATTGCGTCTGCATTGTAACACATGTCAAAATAGGCATTATAATGTGCATTTTCCATTCTGCCAATCTTTTCTGAGTTGGACTTTAAATTCTTTATCAATCCATCCATTTCCTATACCACCCTATTCTAAGGTTGGGTCTCAGGGGTCTGCAGCCTGTCCCAGCTGGTACTGACCAATACGTGCAGGACTCCCTGGATAGGTCGGCAGAATGGTGTTTACTGAATTACTGGTTTCTGAGCTTGAACTATTTCTCAAGAAAACACTTCTGTGTCATAGTGTACAGACTGTAAATGACAAATTATGCATCATCCTCACCATTAATGAAAATCTTCCTGCACATATTTTAAGTTAAAGGCAAAGATTGCGTTGAATCCCACTCCTATGGGAATATCTAAATGAAAAGCATTCGTTCAGGAGGGTTTTAGTAACTTAAGAGAAATTAATGATGAGTAAAAGGAATATTGATTAAGGAATTATAAAACCAAGGAATTTCCAATGAAAACAGGTGGGAGGAATACACAATACAGCAGCTAAACTAATCCAAATGTCAGAATAAATTGTAAATTATATGACAGCACATGAGAGTGGAAGCTTTTTCCTCAAACAGAAGATGATATAAATATAAAACTGTAGAGTATGACAGTCAAAACAGTATCAATATCAATGTTACCTAAGTCTGCTTAAATTGTCGAGACCTGGTTCTTTCAGCAGTTGAGGTGCAATTAGGCCATTTATGTTACAGTAATCCACACACACAGAGGCAAAAAGTCTATGTAACACTGATAAACATGGAAAAATACGACATATATAACAGACAGCAAGAAGATTATTACAAAAGTGACTATCACAGTTATGGAGTAGCACAATTCCTCCGGCTCTGCACACAGTAGGAGATGAAAACATGGCTGACAGTAACAGAAGGCTCTGCTGATGTAGATCAGTGGAGGGGGGGGG